AAAGCTTCTGCAAAGAGACTTTTATCTGTGGATGGGTGCAGAATTCTTGTGATGGGATATGAGCGGATCACCTCCTTTCCTGCCATCTTGCTGATGTCACACCCATAATCTCTCATAAATACTTTTTATCTCCTGAATTTATGGTTTTTTTTTTTTTTTTTTTTTTTGAGACGGAGTTTCGCTCTTGTTACCCAGGCTGGAGTGCAATGGTGTGATCTCGGCTCACCACAACCTCCGCCTCCCAGGTTCAGGTAATTCTCCTGCCTCAGCCTCCTGAGTAGCTGGGATTATAGGCACGTGCCACCATGCCCAGCTAATTTTTTTTGTATTTTTAGTAGAGACAGAGTTTCACCATGTTTACCAGGATGGTCTCGATCTCTCGACCTCGTGATCCACCCGCCTCGGCCTCCCAAAGTGCTAGGATCACAAGCTTGAGCCACCGCGCCCGGCCTATGGTTTATTTTTTCTTTCCAGTGCTTTGGATTTGTGCTCCACGTATTTTTTCCCTACATGTCACTTTTTTGTATTATTTATTGATATTTTCAAAGAATTTTGGTATTTTAGTTTTTCTAATTATTTCTGCTGTTTCTGCATTTCTAATTTACTCATTTTCTGATTTTTATCTTGCTTATTTTTGGTTTTTAGTTAATGCTTTTTGCTCACTTCTTGAGGTGAAATCTTAATTCTCGTTTTTAACTATTATATTTCTTGTTTTTTAATAAATGTATTTAAAACTGTAAATTTCTCTAGGTACAAATTTAGCTGATTTTCTGGGCTTTCCCACAGTTTCTTTTGCTATTTAGTTCTAAATTTTTTTTTTAATACGGAGTCTCGCTGTGTTGCCCATGTTGGAGTGCAGTGGCATGATCTTGACTCACTGCAACTTCCACCTCCCAGGTTCAATTCTCCTGCTTTAGCCTCCTAAGTAGCCAGGACCATAGGTATGCACCACCACCATGCCTGGCTAAATTTTCTATCTTTAATAGAGATGGAGTTTCACTATGTTGGCCAGGCTACTCTTGAACTCCTCATGATCCACCTGCCTCAGCTTCCCAAGGTGCTGGGATTACAGGCCTGAGTCACCGCACCCTGCCTCTAAATTGGTTTTAAATTTTATTTTTATTTCCTCCTATAACAAACATCATATAGAAGTGTCTTAGTTACTTAATTCAAGGATTATGTGTTTTTATATTTTTAATGTTATGCTAATATGATAATTGAAAACATTTTATATCAGTTTTATCTATCTGCCTATATTATTATGTTATAGTCTTCCTTGTTTTTATTTCTTTTCTGTTTATATTCTATTCTTTACTATGACTGTGATTCATTTCTTTGTATGTCTGCTAGCTTTTGTTTATTTAGGAGTTAAGTTGTTAGTTACATAACGGTCATGACTGTTATAATTCCTTGCCTGGCTCTTAGATGATGTCCCTGAGCTGATTTCACTGAGGAAACTGAAGTTAGCAGTAGAGAATTTCTGCAAGTTCCTGCTTCCTTGTGTTTTTACCTACCTTCATCTATACTCATTCAACCTCTTTTTCTGTAGACACGTAAACTTTTTGTGCCTTTACTTAAGGCCAGTATTCTCACTTGGATACTGAATTCCATTCCTTCTCATATTTTTAAAGACATTGTTGAAGCAACTGCCCTTTGTCTCCTCTAACATCAACTTGTCCATAACTTTTACGAGAATTCTCATCAGCATGCAAACATGTCATAGTTTCTTCCATCTTAAAAGGAAAAACACAGAGACAAATCTTTTGATATACACATTATTCTGATATAGCTCCATTTCTTTGCTACTTTTTTTCTTTTTGTGAGAGACTTGCTTTATTGCCAGGCTGGAGTGCAGTGGCACAATCCTGGCTCACTGCAACTTCCTTTTTCCGGTTTCAAGCAATTCTCCTGCCTTAGCCTCCCAAGTAGCTGGGACTATAGGCATACACCACCATGCCTGGCTAATTTTTTGTATTTTTAGTAGAGATAGCATTTCACCATTTTGGCCAGGATGGTCTTGAGCGCTTGACCTCGTGATTCACCCGCCTTGGCTTCCCAAAGTGCTGGGATTACAGGCATGAGCCATCACACCTGGCCTTCTTTGCTACTTTTTACAGAAAAATACAAAATAATTTTCCATTTTCCCTAACACCAGCTTTTTTCTCATTCTTTCATTCTTTTGAATCTGGTTTAGTCAGAACTTGCTCCCATTATTCTACCAAAGCCATTCTTGTGAAGACTACCAGTAAATAAAGCCATTTTTAATTTAGAAAGCGCATTTAGGCCTGGTGCAGTGGGTCACACCCGTAATCCCAGCATTTTGGGAGGCCAAGGCAGGAGGATCACCTGAGGTCAGGAGCTCGAGACCAGCTTGGCCAACATGATGAAATCCTGTATCTACTAAAAATACGAAAAAATTAGCCAGACATGATGGTGTGCACATGGATTCCCAGCTACTCAGAAGGCTGAGACAAGAGAATCATTTGAACCCGGGAGGTGGAGGTTGTAGTGAGCTGAGATCGTGCCACTGTACCCCAGGATGGGCAACAGAGCAGGACTCCATCTCAAAAAAAAAAAAAAAATGCACCATTTGCCTCATGTCTTAGCACTTGATATAACCAATCATTCCTTCTGAAAACACTTGTGTCACATGGCTTCTGGGGTTCTGTGCTTTCCTCACTTTCCTACTTCCTGGCTGGCTACTCCTTCTTAGTCTCCATTGCTGTTTCCTTCTCATCTACCTGAAGTGGCCCAGGGTTCAATCTTCAAACATCCCTTTTTCATCTTTTCCCTTCTGTGTTATATACAAAGGTACTCCCTGGGTGACCTCATCAAATCTCATAGCTTTAAATGTTATTTATTTGGTAATGACTTTCAAACTATATCTGTAATACAAACGCCTCCCTAGAGTCACATACTTTCACATATATGTGTCTGTTGAACATTTTCATTTGATATCTAATAGTTCAAAACCAGGCTCTTCATATTCTCTTCCAGATCTGCCCCTATCACAACAGTGAAGAATTCTCAGTAAGTAGCACTTCCTTTGTTCCAGCCTTTCAGGCAGAACATGCATAGTCTTCCTTGTGTTCTTGTTTTCATGTTACATGTCCATTCCATCATCACATCCTCTTTAGTATACCTTCAAAATATATCTGTTTTCTAATGATACCTCACTTCCTCCACCCTTACCTCCACGATCATCTGGTCTGAGCCAGGTGGATTATACTAGCCACCTAACTTCTATCCATCTAGCTTTTGTACTTTCCCATTAACTATCTTTTTATTTATTAATTTTGGCTCCCCAACTCAGAGTAAAAGTCAATTTTTTTTAAATGGCCAAGACTGAGGTCAGATGAATTTTTTTTCCTGTCTCTGAACTTGAGGCCTTGAATAGGTTCGAATTTTGTAAAGTGGTTTATTTCTGATCACTGCTCTTGTGTGGTGCAAGGGCTTGTCTCTTAAATTTTTCAGAACACAAAGATAGAACCTTAGGCTACTGAAGCCAGCAAATGTTCCAAGGGTAGCTCTGACTTCAGAGCATGTTCACCTCTCTAGTTTCTGGCTCTTACTTCATTGCTTGATCTTCTTTATTTTCTTTTAATCTCTCTTTCTCTCTCTCTCTCTCTCTCTCTCATATATGTAAGATATTTTATATAATATATAATATATTTATATTATATATATATATATATATATATATATATATATTTTTTTTTTTTTTTTTTTTTAGTTGGAGGCGGGTGGATCACGAGGTCGAGAGATCGAGACCATCCTGGTCAACATGGTGAAACCCCGTCTCTACTAAAAATACAAAAAACTAGCTGGGCATGGTGGTGCGTGCCTGTAATCCCAGCTACTTAGGAGGCTGAGGCAGGAGAATTGCCTGAGCCCAGGAGGCGGAGGTTGCAGTGAGCCGAAATCGCGCCATTGCACTCCAGCCTGGGTAACAAGAGCGAAACTTCGTCTCAAAAAAAAAAAGAAGTATGATGGTGGTTGGATACATGACTTGAGTCCTTGTAGGTCAAAGTTTCTTTTGTTTTTTCTCCTGTTTTTCAGTTGTTTTGTGCTTTCATTGACCTGGTTTTTACTGAGTGCCAGACATTGCAAAGAAAAATTTAAAAATTTCAGTCCTTGCATAACATTATACAAAATCCAGTAATGATTTAAGTTTGCTATGGCAAGCAGTCTTAAATGACCTTAATCCAAATTTTTGGATTGTCAGAAATGAGTCAAAGTCATTGAAGAATTTGGATTTTATATTAAGTTTAACATGGAAGCTACTAAAAAGTATTAAACAGACACAGAAAATCATGATCTGAATGTGAATCAGTTGATAGGAAGTATTAAAAATAGAGATCTCCAGGATCTTTTTCTGATTCACTAGCAGTTAGTCTGGTGTAATGTTGGAGAGCTATAATCTTAATATGCTCCCCAGGTGATTTTGATCTCCACCAAAGCTTGAGAACTACTGACTTTAAAATTTTTCTTAATCTCTTCCCTTATCTTCTCATCTGAGTTTTCATTATTCTCTCATCTCTCAGATGCCCCTTTCATATATTAATATATGAGATATTTCTAAGCTGATTTTTTTTAATTCTAGGTAGGAATATTTCTGTACTATGAAATTCGTTTAGTCAGTTTTTTAATTCTAGGTAGGAACATTTCTGTACTATGAAATCAGTTTAGTCAGTTTTTTAATTCTAGGTAGAAACATTTCTGTACTATGAAATCAATTTAGTCAGTTTTGTGTATGAGAGAGAGAAATAGAAAAGAGCAGACTTATTGCAGAATGGAATAGAAAGCAGGGAAGATACTGTTTTATGAAACTTTATAGCAGGTTTTGATGTGAAAGGTAGGTATCATTATGGGTCATAGTAAGCAATATTTGAAACAAACTCATGTATGTATGTTACTTTTTATGGGTATTATAATTTCCTATTATTTGTCTTTGCTATAGAAGTTATATTTCTCAATTTTTTAATTCTCTCTTATTTCAGACTTGCCTTCAAGGTGTGCAAGAAAGGACTTATCTCCAGAAAAGAACACTTATGAAACAGAATTATCCCAATGGGAAATGAGTGACAGGCTTGAAAAGTGTGACCTTGAAGAATCCAATTCTAGGGATCATTTGGAAGCCAAAGCCAAGATGGAAAAGCAACAAGAAAATCAGAAGGAATATTTCAGGCAAGGGATGATCATATATAACAAAATGTCCATTTTCAACCAGCATACTTACTTATCTCAGCATTCAAAATGTCATTCTACCGAGAAACCCTATAAATGTAAGGAATGCGGGAAAGCCTTCAGACGAGCCTCACACCTAACACAACATCAAAGTATTCATACTGGTGAAAAACCCTATGAATGTAAGCAATGTGGGAAAGCCTTTAGTCGTGATTCACAACTCAGTCTTCATCAGAGACTTCATACTGGTGAGAAACCCTATGCATGTAAGGAATGTGGGAAGGCCTTTACTCAAAGCTCACAACTTATTTTACATCATAGAATTCATACTGGTGAAAAACCATATAAATGTGAAGAATGTGGGAAAGCCTTTATTCGTAGCTCCCAACTTACCCGACATCAAAAAGTTCATACTGGTGAGAAACCTTACGAATGTAAAGAATGTGGGAAGGCCTTTACTCAGAATTCACAACTTACACTACACCAGAGACTTCATACTGGTGAGAAGCTCTATGAATGTAAAGAATGTAGGAAGGTCTTTACTCAGCTCTCACAACTTATTCTGCATAAGAGAATTCATACCGGTGAGAAACCGTATGAATGTAAGGAATGTGGGAAAGCTTTTATTTGTGGCTCACAGCTTTCTCAACATCAGAAAATTCATAATGGGGAAAAACCATATGAATGTAAGGAATGTGGAAAAGCTTTTATTCGGGGCTCACTACTTATGCAACATCAGAGGATTCATACTGGTGAAAAACCCTATAAATGTGAAGAATGTGGGAAGGCCTTTATCCGTGGCTCACAACTTACCCAACACCAGAGAATTCACACCAATGAAAAGCCCTATGAATGTAAGGAATGTGGAAAGACGTTTAGTCATGGCTCGCAACTTACCCAACATCAGAGAATACATACTGGTGAGAAACCCTATCAATGTAAGGAGTGTGGAAAGGCGTTTAATCGTGGCTCGCTCCTTACACGACACCAGAGGATTCATACTGGTGAGAAACCCTATGAATGTAAAGAATGTGGAAAAACCTTTAGTCGTGGCTCAGAACTTACTCAGCATGAGCGAATTCACACAGGTGAGAAACCCTATGAATGTAAGGAATGTGGGAAATCTTTTATTCGTGGTTCACAGCTTACTCAACATCAAAGAATCCATACTGGTGAGAAACCTTATGAATGTAAAGAATGTAGAATGGCCTTTACTCAGAGTTCACATCTTTCCCAACATCAAAGACTTCACACTGGTGAGAAACCCTATGTGTGTAATGAATGCGGAAAGGCCTTTGCACGTGGGTTACTACTTATACAACATCAGAGAATTCATACTGGTGAGAAACCGTATCAATGTAAGGAATGTGGGAAAGCCTTTATTCGTGGTTCACAATTGACTCAACATCAGCGAATTCACACTGGAGAAAAACCCTATGAATGCAAGGAATGCGGCAAGGCCTTTAGTCATGGCTCTCAACTTACTCTACATCAGAGAATCCATACTGGTGAGAAGCCCTATGAATGCAGAGAATGTAGAAAGGCCTTTACTCAGAGCTCACATCTTTCTCGGCATCAGCGGATTCATACTGGTGAGAAACCATATCAATGTAAGGAATGTGGGAAGGCCTTTACTCGTGGTTCACAACTAACACAACATCAGAGAATTCATATCAGTGAGAAATCTTTTGAATATAAAGAATGCGGTATTGACTTTAGTCATGGCTCAGAAGTTTACATGTGAACTGTCTGATTCTTTGAGATCACTATGAAGAGGTTCTCTGGTTGTTATCAGCAACGAATTCTCACAGACGTGAATATGGGTGCACATCTGCCTAAGGCACAGCATCAGAGAATTTGTGTGAGGAAAAGGAAATGTTAGTGTCATTCATATAGAAAAACCTATCATTACTGAAAACCTATTAAACATTAGCAAATTGGAGAATAGTTTCAATACAGTAAATGTAGGAAGGCCTTTAGCCATATTGAAAACAAATCTTTTTCAACATTATCTTAGCTCTACTAGTTGATTTTTTGTTGTTGTTGTTGTTGTTTTTATATGTATCACGATACTTAACCTCTACCTTGGTTTAATCATTTTAAGATACACCTAAGTATATTACTTTTCTTATAAGATTCTTGGAAATATTATGTAAGTTATTACATGTAAAAGCTCTTAGAATGGTGCCTTGAACATAGCATACCACAAATATTAGCTACCATTTTCACTAGTGTTATCTTAGAGAATTTGCATGAGAGGAGAGCACTTATGAGTGTAGTAAATATTGAGAAATCTTTTATCAACACATCCTAGATGGTTGAGGGGCACTGTATGCCATAATGAATGTGACAAAGCCGTCATTTTTTTTTTTTTTATTTTTTTTTTTTGAGATGGAGTTTCGCTCTTGTTACCCAGGCTGGAGTGCAATGGCGCGATCTCGGCTCACCACAACCTCCGCCTCCTGGGTTCAGGCAATTCTCCTGCCTCAGCTTCCTGAGTAGCTGGGATTACAGGCACGCGCCACCACGCCCAGCTAGTTTTTTGTATTTTTTTAGTAGAGACGGGGTTTCACCGTGTTGACCAGGATGGTCTCGATCTCTCGACCTCGTGATCCACCCGCCTCGGCCTCCCAAAGTGCTGGGATTACAGGCTTGAGCCACCGCGCCCGGCCCAAAGCCGTCATTTAAATCTCATCCATTATTGCTATAAGAGGAAATTCATACTGTTCAAAAAAAAACAGTGGATTTAATCACTAGATGATTGAGCACAGCTATTTGAGAATTGGGGCAAGGTGTGAAGTGATTTTTAACAAAGTCTAAGATCCAAAGTCTAATAAATCTAGGAAATTTTTAAAAACTTGAATGTATTGCTTTTGAAGTAAACAAAAGTAAGAACCAATATTACAGACTATTTTGCAATGCAAAATGATGAGAGTTTGTGATAGAGACTGCTTTTTTCCTACTCTATATCTATTTTCTCTTTTTTAATAAAATTCTGGGCTGAAAAACTATCTCAGCCTTCCTTGCAGATCAACAAGATAGAAGTGGTGTTTATATGAGTATTTATGAAATCCATTTTTCCTGTCTTTTTTTGCCCTTCCTACAACGTGGACATTTAAGCTGGAGCTCCAGTACTGTCATGGGGGCTTTGAGAATGGTATCTGGGTGTTAGGGATCATGGAGCAGAAATACAGAAGGAGTCTGCAACCCTGATGATTTTGTGGAACAGCCATACTTGCTCTGGTCTGCTTGCCTCCTGTGTTTGTTTAAATAAAATTAAACATCTTATTTGTTGATGCTATTGTAGTTCTGTTATTTACAGTAAAAATTCTTGAGGATATAAAATTTTGTACCTAGAAGTGGGATGCTATGGGTAAAGGAAATCTCAAATGGGGTATTGAGGCCATTGGAGTATCTCTAGGTTATTGAGAATGAAGAACTGCCCAAATTAAGGTAAGAGCTGAAAGATGCTTGTTTTAACAGGCAGGACGTCATGTCACTGCCTCCCACTCATACCACCATGCTTTATATCAGTCACTGCTGTGATGTTGGAAGAAATGCCAGAGGTGATTCAGGATGCATATTGCACACTCTTGCTGCTTTCAGGAATGTCCTGTGAACAAGGTAAATTCAGAGTAGAGCTAGGTGGCCCGCTAGCAGCAACTGAAAGCAGTATTACTTTGGTAAGACGTTATCTATTATGGCCGGCCCTCAGTCCTCTACCCTTAAGCCACTTAACAGTGATACAACTTGAGAACCTGAACAAGAAATTAGACCAGTTCCATTGCATATAAAGGCAGTCTGCTAGTAAACATATTTATGCTTTCCTTATAGGTGCCTATTGTTCTAAAAGTAGTCAGTTATTAGGTACTAAATATATTCCAGCCACTATCTTAGATGTTTTGGATATTTGTCTTTTTTTTTTTTTTTTTTTTTTGAGACGGAGTTTTGCTCTTGTTACCCAGGCTGGAGTGCAATGGCGCGATCTTGGCTCACCGCAACCTCCACCTCCTGGGTTCAGGCAATTCTCCTGCCTCAGCCTCTTGAGTAGCTGGGATTACAGGCACGTGCCACCATGCCCAGCTAATTTTTTGTATTTTTAGTAGAGACGGGGTTTCACCATGTTGATCAGGATGGTCTCGATCTCTTGACCTCGTAATCCACCCGCCTTGGCCTCCCAAAGTGCTGGGATTACAGGCTTCAGCCACCACGCCCAGCCTTGGATATTTGTCTTAACAATTCTAGCAGGAGGAGGTAATCATATGTACAGAATATGTTAGAACTTAAGTGTTATGGGGAAAAAGTCATTCAAAGGCAGTGAGAGGGAAACTTAAGTGTTATGGGGAAAAAGTCATTCAAAGGCAGTGAGAGGGATATGATCACTTAGGTTGCATATGATCATATCATTATGATCAAGGTAGAACACCAAGAAGGAAAGACTTGAGCCAAGACTTGAAGGAGTGAGGTGATAAGTTAGTGGTTATCTAAGGGAAAAGCATTCCAAGCACAGGAGAAGGCTAGAGAGATCCTACAATGGGACGATGCTGATGTGTTTTAGGAAAATTGGGGAAGTTATTGAAGAGCACTTTACAAAGGAGTGTTTGCTAGAGCAGAACAGAGAGGTAACAGAGGGCCATATCATGCCAAGCATGCAAGCCATTGTAAAGATACTTTATTTTGCGGGAAATACAGCTGTTGAAAAAAATTGATGAGGAGGTTGTAGTAACTCAGATGAAAGAGGATGTCATAGCTTAGGAAGAAGAGTTAACAGTTGGTATAGTGGTTATTAGTTGTATTCTAAGTATATGGTAAATATAACAGCAAGCAAAATTTGTCTAAGGGCTAGATGTAGAAGAGACAAGTCCAGGGTGACATTAGCTCAAAAACTTTAGTCTTGAGCATCTGGAAATACAGTGTTTTCATCAACCAGGATGGGGAAAACTTCAGTTCCAGCAGGGTTTTAGGGGATGACAGAGTTCAGCTTCGAACGTGTTGAATTTTTGGATGTCTTTTAAGACACACAGTGTCAGTAGCGAGTAGGCATTTGATGTATGAGTTATACTAAACTTGATCTTATATTACCTTAGTAGGTGTTGCCACATTTATTTAAATGATTAAGGATTTTAGTGTAGAAAGGGTAGAGAACAGCAAGGACTGAACCATGGAGCACTCCAACATTGAGTTAAAACAAAAAAATAACACTAAAGAAGCTAAGCAGAAAAACCAACAATAGAGGAAAACCAAGAAACTGGAATCACAAAAGCCAAATAAAAGTGAATTGAAGGAGAATCAATAGGTATCAGATGGCTTTATTATGTAACGTGTTCTAAAGGTCTCATCATATATATGATGGTGTCCTAAATGTGTCCTGTATGCTGACATGAGTGTAGCCAGTGCACTTCAGTGCTGTTTCTCTGTAGTCTGCCTACCTTGTGGTGGGCGTCTCTCCTTGGCTCAACTCAGGGGCTGCGGGGCCCAGCGTTCTTTGCTTTGCTCCTGGTTTCTAAGGTCTCAGTGTAGGAGGGTATCTGGCTCCCACCCGCAGGCATCCTAATCACCTGCCCATCCTGTGGGGGTCACTCCTCGAGAAGAAGACAAGCACAGCACACCCAAAACCAAACTCTTCCAAGGGCCCTTGGTTCTGCGGCACATCTATGGCTGGTCCCATCCTCAGGACCCCTTGAGGGAACACACTGCTGTCCTTAAACTGCTATGTATTTGACCTACTTTGGATCCTTGTTAAAAGACTGAGATTCCTGTGTCAGAGTGAACCTGAGATTCTGTATTTCTAGTAGAATCTAGTAGAATAAGCACAGGGGATGCCAGTGCTTATGGATCATGATTCATATTGCCAGGAGCAAGTCTCAGTATTGGTTCTCTGGAATTAAGAACTGTAGATGTAGGCCAGTTGTGGTGGCTCACATCTATAATCCCAGCACTTTGGGAGGCCGAGGCAGGTGGATCACAAGGTCAAGAGATCAAGACCATCCTGGTCAACATGGTTAAACCCTGTCTCTACTAAAATTACAAAAATTTAGCTGGGCATGGTGGCACGTGCCTGTAATCCCAGCTACTGAAGAGGCTGAGGCAGGAGAATTGCCTGAACCCATGAGGCAGAGGTTGCGGTGAGATCGCGCCACTGCACTCCAGCCTGGGTAACGAGCGAAACTCCGTCTCAAAAAAAAAAAAAAAAAAAAATTGTAGTTGTAGGGTCTGCATTGAAAGGCCTCTTCTGGATGTAGTCTTCATTTTTCTTCCCAATTACTTTCATCATATAATGAAAACATGCTGATTGGCAATATAAATGTAAACAGTTCATAAATTTATTTTTCTAATGACTAATTTAGTTGAATCTTGGTTATCTACGGACAGATTAAATGGTATGCAGTTAGCCATGTGGTATGAAATAACAGTGGGCTTGGTATCATGAAGAATTGAAATCACAGTAATGTAAGAAAACATGAATATATTTATACTATCATGTAATTCTGTTGAGAATTATTTGGTACCTACTCCAGCTTGGGAATGTTCCTTGATCTCAGGTGTCCAAGTAATTTTTGGGAGCAGTGTCTGCTTTCTCTTCCAGCCTCTAAGGAACAGAGGTCTGCATATGGGAATGGCGACATCTACACCTGGGCTGTGCTGTGATTGGTAGAGATTTCTAACATATTGGCTGCAAATACTCAGGTACGTACAGTTCCTTTAAACATTTGTACGCGTTCTTGGAAATGGTAAATGTATTCTGAACTATAGGATGTGAATTTTAGCTGAATTCGTTTAAAATAATCTTTCCTATGACCTTTTAATTGCTTTTACATTAACTAGGACTTAGGATCTGTGAGACCTTTTCCTTCTGTTCATTTTGGCTGCTGCAAAATTCTTTTTTTTTTTTTTTTTTGAGACAGAGTTTTACTCTTGTTATCCAGGCTGGAGTGCAATGGCGTGATCTCGGCTCACTGCAACCTCCGTCTTCTGGGTTCGGGCAATTCTCCTGCCTCAGCCTCCTGAGTAACTGGGATTACAGGCACGCGCCACCATGCCCAGCTAATTTGTTGTATTTTTAGTAGAGACGGTGTTTCACCATGTTGAGCAGGATGGTCTCAATCTCTTGACCATGTGATCCACCCGCCTCGGCCTCCCAAAGTATTGGGATTACAGGCGTGAGCCACTGCGCCCGGCCCAATTCTTTCCTTCCATAAACATGAATGCACATGTATACCTGTGGGCAAACTATGTGTGTAGTAGGATCACAGGTTTAGCATTTCAGCATGAGAAGTCATATGTGCTATGTTATGAAAACTTAAAGGCTCTGAGTAAATCCTAATTATGGACAATTATGAAACAGTGAGAAAATCCTTTAAAATAATTT